ACTTGAAGATGAGTATGCATGTGCCCGTGAAACAAAAGTGGTGTTTGGAAGTGATATTGTTTCTCAAGATGTGAATTTTATCCATGTACATTTTTGTACAGTTTCAAAAGCCATTGCGTGCTTAGAATCTTGTGGTGAACTCCTTCACGACTCACTTCAACTCGTTCAGAAGCAACTTGTTCACTGAATTCCGCTCCAGGCGAAATTGGAGGGAAAATTAAATACAAGTTAGAAATAGTATTGAATTCGAACCCAGGACTAAAAAAGATTCAGTCAGTCAGTACTTGAGTGGAATTAGGGTGTCTTTGCCAGTAGAATGTTCCGAACTTTCGGCGCCAGTGTATAAATAGCCCAATCATGTCAATTGTTGTAGAAAGATCATTCTTGGCCTATAAACTCATTTTGACAGACAATAGACGTAGTGTGCCTCCAGGAAACATTGAAAGGCTTCCAGTTGCCTATTGTGATACTACTTCTGCAGTGAATGATACATGTAAATAGGTGAGTGAATAAAGTGACCTGTTTCTTAAGTGCATATTGTTTTATTTTGGTGCATATTTTACCGCTTTTTAGCGCATATTTTAAGTGTTTTTAGTGCATATTTTAAGTGTTTTTAGTGCATATTTTAAGTGTTTTTAGAGCATAAAGATCCGGGCCCAACTTATCACACATGGTTTAAACTTTACAAAAATTACAGGTGCTAGTGGTATAGTCAGTACTTGAGTGTCTAGTGGTCAGAGTTCCTGGTTACAGATCCAGAGTTCCCGGGTTCGATTCCCGGCGCTACCAGATTTTCTATGAAGTAGTGGGTCTGAAATAGAGGCTCCGGTCTAGAAAACCGAAATTAACGGCTGTGGGGATCCGTTGCGCTGACCATGCGACAAGCGGCGGTCGCTCGATCGGTATAGTGCGCTTGCGAGAAAAAGACCACGGAGATTGTTTGTTTGTTTGTTTGTTTGCTAGTGGTACAGGTCGTATAAGTACATTTGCGGTGCTTAGAACTAGTGGACGTAGAAGTACCCGTCGAAATGCAAGTAACAGTCACAAGTACAAGTCGAAGAAGTTGGAGGAGAAGTCTAGAAGTATCAGAAGAAGCAGCAGAACTGCCCACGTCACAACACCGATACAATAAACTCGGTAGGCGGGACTTGCCGAAATCTCAGCTGAAGTAAGAATTTCTTATTGATTCAACGCCCCCTCCCCCATATACTCATAACAATCGGAATGTCAATTTTGATAAGCGGATGCGAATCCTGATTGGTCGAACGTGTAACGGCGGTGCATCCCACAAAGGTGTCATATTGTGCACAGGCGAGATTATCACGCTGAACACCGCTCATCCTCGTTCGTGACCTTAAGTCCGAAAAAGAGATTCACTACAAGAAGAAGGTGTCGACAAGCTAATCCGAAACACATCCTTAAGAGCACTTCATACTACACCTGTCGGGACAAGAATACGCCAAAATACCTGCTTCAGCTACTATACAACATCAATCCGACCTGGCCATATCCGGATATCGTAGAGCCATTTCTATGTACCAAAGCGTATCCGGGGTTCGAAGCCGAGTTTCATTGCTACAGTACTCATATATCATCTATGGTTGGTACAATAGACCAATTAGTGGCCGACGTAACAAGAGAATTCACTCTCACCTCACCCCACGAAACTAAAGAAATTAATATTGCTGAATATGACTTGTGGGTCGCCATAAATTTAAAAATTATCCGTTTGGTCCACGTATGATTTGAGCCTCGGACATACGTATACTTTAGATGAAGTTTACATCCAGAAGACTGACTACGTAGCAAACGAAGTAGCTATGTCCCTCTATGTTTGCGAACATGAAAGCTCCCTGTTCGAACACAGACTCATATACGAGCACTGCGACCCAAGCTGTAATGACAGTGTGAAGGCATTTTGTTTTATGATGTTTTATAGTCGTAAGTAACTTTTATCCGTTCCCTGCCCTCTGCCGCTCACTTCAGCTTTGTCTGGCTCATATCGGCTCGGGCCATACGCATCAGTTTTTCCCGGTATACATACCGGCGCGTACCAGCTGAAAAGAGAAATTGCTGTGTTCAGAAATAATCTTTTATTTCAATTCCTCCCCCCAACAATATTTTCATATCCCATTTACATTCAAATGCCCTGCAATCCTGTTCGTATTAGGGCGAGGGCACACCAAGGAAACTGGCAACTGCGATGCAACCGCAATTTCCGAGAAAAATTACCGATTTAAAGCAGGCAACTGGTGACCAGATTAGCAGGCGCACGCTGCGGAAACTTATGTTTGAGTAGTTGCTCAAATCATCTGAAGTGGGTATGTCCGTCCGACAAAATGCACGAATGTATCTTTCAACTTCGTGCACCTACCTTCTGCAATGGAAAATAATAAGAGACACTGTCACAATATGGCGGTAGTTGAGACGGCGTGAGAAGAGAGAAGGACGACCATAAGGGAAATATTTGGATTTTAATTATTTTGTTTTAATTAAGGTCAGTTTATTTTATTCAGGAAATATCGCGTTCGCACGCGATACGAAATTTTAAAATACAGTGCAACAATTTTAGCAAGGTAGAAGACTCCTGATGATGGCCATATATAGCCGAGCCATGTAATGTTAAGGAAGGGTGACTATGTAATAAGTTGCATGTAAGACGTAAATATATGTGAGAAATGAATTATACATTAATGCAACAGGACGCATAAATACAATATTAAGAAAAGGAAACATTGGATGCATCTGTTCTTCTGTGACAGTTTAAATGGGGTGCTTACATTATTTAAAAAAAAAAACTCGTGGTAAATTTAATATATTTAGAGTTGAATTAATTTCTGTGATATTCAAACGTGCGAGTTCATTAATAGGCTAAATGAAAAATACCTATACTTGAATATAGATATTTAATTGCTTATATTACGACCGTCGACACAGCAAGTAATATGAGAATATCTTCACTATTAAGTGATTTTTTTTTGTTTCATTCTGGTCCGTCACACTAACAATATTATAAAAGATAAATCAATTCTGTCCAGTGTGACTGGTGAAGTTTTTCTTATATCAATTCTTAATGTCCTTACATGTTTCGGTCCTTAGAAACCATCATCAGAGGGTCATCGATACAGTTTGGAAACCACTGTTACAATGGGTGTTCTGAATGTTAAAATATATATACATACAATGCTCACAATGCACAAATGGATACAAAATCCAAACTTTTCACAACTACAGCAGCTGCCTTGATATATATTTTTTTTAACTTTTGATGTTTAAGAGAGAATTTATAAACCAAATAGGTTCGTGTCCTCTCTCTTATCACCTCTTTTAAGGGGGCCGAACTTGTGCCGCCTGTCTTTCTTGAGAAGAAGGTTCTTTGATGTCGTCCTGTGGTTGTTCGTGGCGCGCTGTGTTAACTTTGGATTTTGTATCTATTTGTGCATTGTAAACATTGTATGTATATATATTTTAACATTCAGAACACCCATTGTAATAGTGATTTCCAAACTGTATCGATGTCCCTCTGATGATGGTATCCAAGGACCGAAACATGTAAGGGCATTAAGAATTGAAATAAGAAAAACTTCAACAAACAATCAAGTTCCTTCCGTCAAATGTGACACTTTTTTAAGTTTTCCACCTCGTCACCACCTGCC